GAGATTTTATTTTATTTTTTTTCTGGTTCAAGAGAAAAAAAAATTTTTCAAAATTAATTTTGAAAATTTTTTTCCTTTTCAAACGAATGTGGAATATGGTGTGTGTGTGTGTGTGAATAGTGAGAAAAAAATGTAGCAAATGTACAGAACATTAAGGATTCTTTAGCACAGAATTCTTTCACCATTTAACCAGACGATTAACGATTATATTAGATATTTGCAGACAAACAAAAAAAAAAAAGAAAGTTCTCCTTATGATTCTACGTTAATGGTGATGATTATATCACACCATCTTTTTCTTCTCTCTGTGTGTGTGTGTGTGTGTGTCTTTCGATAATGATGGTACCCACTCTCGTTCTCACTTGGTTTTTTTTCTCATCTTAAAAAACACACTAATTAGCACAATTCTGTTGTGTGTGTTGCACACACACACAAATGTCATCATCATCATGCTTTGATTACGTTTTTTACGGCTACGTGTTTTGTGTGTGTGTGTGTGTGTGTATATCTAAATGAACATCATGTTTGTTTCATTAACGTTTCAACAGAATCTCTTGTTTCACTAAACTTTTTTTTTTGCCATATAAATACTCTATATATATTGGCTTTGGATTCTGTCGCCGTTTTTTTTTGCCATTTTTAATTGAGTTGAAGCTTTTTATTTGAAATCCACTTAACAGAAACGAAAAGTGTTTTTTTGCATTTCTTGTTTGTGTTGTGTTGTGCGGTAACCAGAATTAACACGTTTTTTCCTCTTTTTTTCTTTTGCTGGATTCCTGGGGTCGTTATTCTTGCTGTTGTTGTTGAATCCACACAAGATTCCACTTGATTTTTTGCCATTCTGGCTGCAATTATCGAGCCAACAAATTATTAATAATGACGATGATGATGAAAAAAAGATGCATCGAACATTGTAAAAAAAAAACAATGAACGAAAAAATGCGGGAAAAAAACATTGAAACTTTTTCATTGTCACACAAAACGCTCTTGTTGTTTATTGGAAAAGACAAAAAAAAAGTTCAAGTTTGAGCAAAACGAGAAAAAAAAATAAAGAATTCATTCAACTAAACAATTTCAGCGAATTTTTTTTTTTCATTTTATTTTTTCCTCTATTTATCTATAGACTCTATAGAGTTTTAGCTTTTTGGTTGCTGTTGTTGTTGTTGTTGTTGTTAAATAAAAATAACAAAATTGAAATTGAAATAAAGTGAAAAAAGAGAGAGAGAGAGAAAGAAAAACTTTTTAACTGTCATCAATCGATTTGTTGTTGTTGTTGTTTTGTGCTCTTTGTGAAATCAATTGCGTTCAAACATTTAACGGAGAGCTCATCGACGACGACGACGACGATTCAAGCGAAAATAATCGATTAAATAATCGAAAACAAACAAAACAAACAAACGAATGAAAGAAAATCAAATGCAATCGATTAATGGTGGTCGATTGTTTTTTTTCCATCCAAAATGATGTGTGTGTGTAGGTAAAGTAGACAAAAGCTTACTACCAAATGCTGCTACAACGCCCTAGTTGATGATTGATCCACCGTTATTATTATTGTTTTTTTGTTGTTGTTGGATTCATTTCCGTTTTACGTTTGTTTGGTTTTTTCCTGTTTTTCTCTCTCTCTCTCTCTGTGTTTGCGTGTGTGTGTGAAAGAAAAAGTTTTTCGTATGCAAAAATAGAAATTATTCACTTTTGATGATCAAATAGCGTTTTGACGTTTCGCTTATTGGCTAATGACTAATTTGATTATTTCATCATCATCATCATCGATTCTGGTTGTTATTTGAGGCCATACGTATCGAAAATAACATTGACCATTTACTAGGATTATTGTTGTTGTTGTCGATGTTAGTGTTGATGGATCGATTTGATTTTTTGCAGCAAACAAAGATAAAGAAAAAGTGTGTACGAATTTGAAATAAAGTAAACAGACAGGAAAAAAAACGAATAGCAAAAATGTTTGCATGTGTGTGTGGGCGTCTGAGAATCAGGAACACATATATTCTTATGGGAATATTTCCTCCAACAAAAAAATATTCCTTTTTTACTACTGGTCTTTTTTTTTGCTCGGTTTTGGCTTAAATATTATAACTGACAAATAATAATAAACCAAACAGAATATTCTCTAGTCAATAGTTTTTCTTCTTTTTTTTTACAACAACAACAACAACAAGAACCAGAACCAGAATTCTTGTCATTATTATAATATGACTAAATAGACAAATTCGTTGGAATCATCAATGAATAAATTCATATAGTGTGTGTGTGTGTGTAAGTGAGAAAGTAAAGAAGAAAAAAAAATAAACAAACAAAAACAACAACAAAGAAATAATAATAAAAAAAATTCCGATATTCTTGATGGCCATTGATTTTTTTTTTTTTTTTTTTTGATTCGAATGTTTGTTTGTTGAAATCAAGAAAGATTCTTGTGTGTGTGTGTGTGTGTGTGTGTGAGTGTGTGATAGTAGAAAAAGTTCCAAAGGAATGAAGAAAAAATTTTTCTCCAGAATTAACTTTCAAACAATCCGGTTTATACACACACACACACATACAATGGTTTTTATTTTCTGGCCATTCACATTCGATTCAAGACCGAATTCTTTTTTTTTCACACTTCTATTCTGTTGTCAAAGATCTGTCAAAAAATTATTATTTTTTTTCGTCTTTTTCTTCTTCTGCATTCATTCATTTATTGTTTGTTGATCCAAATGCCAGTAAAATATAAAAAAAAAAAAATAAAACGAATCGAATCGAATTGAATCGCTGATGGTGATGATGATCGAAACTGATGCGTGTGTGTGTGTGTGTGTGTGTGTGTATGTTTTGAGCGCCAGCTTGTCGAAGAAAATTTTCTTTAACAACAGAATAAAGCTGCAAAAAGTTTTTAGTTTTTCTTTTTGTACGTATATGTCGAATGAAAATGATTTCGACATTGGGATTTTCTTCATCGTTGCTGCTACTGATGATGATGATGATGCTAAAGACCAAGACGTTGTTGTTGATGATGATGATGATGATGAGAATCGTGATCGAATTTAGCTTCTTTATCTTTGTACTACCCATTTTGTTGTTGTTGTTGTTGTTGTTGCAATTGTTTTGAAGCTTTATTTTCACCAAAATTTTCTTTTCTTTTTTTTCTTCTTCATTTATCGGCCATAATAATAATAGATTCGATCATCATCATCATCATCATCAACATTTTCTATTTCGACATGTTTGTTGTTGCAATTACTGAAAACGAAAAAATTCGTTTTTATCCTTCATTCTGCATTCTTTTTTTTTCTCAAGGATGAAAATCATTTCACAATTCTCGAAATATAAGTTCCAAATGATTTGGATCTTACATCCTGTATGATGATTGGAAGTGGAACACATGCACACCCGCACACACACGATTATTTCGATGCGTTTATTGATTTGTTTTATATTTCAATCAATCCATCGAACACACAAACACAGGCACAGGCACAGACACATTCAAAATAATAAGATATCGATGTTGATCATCAGATATATTTACAAAGAACACACAGATGAGATGATGATGATGATAAACAATTTTCATCATCATGTCCAATAATGATTCGTAGATTATGATTGTCATTCTGTGTAACATTGAAATATTGACAACCAACTAAATGACAACAACAACAACATCTGTATGCTTTATCTTATCCGGTGTGAAAGACAAACAAAAACAGCAGCAACAAATCTTGTCAATCATGATGATGAGCAGCAATACATACATACACACACAACTCGATGATGTAGAAATAGAATCGAATCTTTTTTCCATTCCATTCCATTTTCACGATCTGTCTGTTTGACCGGTCTGTTTGTCTATTTCATATATATATTGATCTATTTATAATTAATATTTTTATCCATCTGTCCAGAATATCTGTTCAATTTCAGTTTTTTTTCTATTTTTTCTTCTGGTGACATGTTACAAACATTTGTAAATGTTCCAATCCAAGAATCCAAGATCAATGATGATGATGATGATGATGGTGATCAAATCAGAATTTGTTTTTTTTTCTCTTCATCCATATGTGAAACATTTGTGGCCTATGTGTTTTAATTAAAATATATAAATATATATGTGTCACACATTTGGTTCAATTTTTCTTAATTTTCACACAGGAAACACTTGATATGTCCGAATCATTTTCTTCATCATCATCATCATCATCATCATCTATGTTATCGTGTGTGTGTGTGTGTGTGAAAAAAAAACGAATCGAACCCAAAGATATTGATCCCGAGAAGAAAAAAAAAAGTTTTTCTTTTCTCCCATGGCCGAATTATGTTATTTGAGCCACACATCACAAGAATATTATATTTATGAAAAAAGAAAGAAAGAAGAAAAAATAATAATTTTCTTTACCCAATTTGCTTTTGATTTTCACCACCACCACCACCACCACCACCAATTCCAAATGATGTATGTGTGTGTGTGTGTTTTTTTTGCCTTTTTCCCTTCATTCCAATTCCATCGCATTCCTATTTCCATTCATTTATTTTGAATTCATCAATTTGTCATAATATATTAATATATATTGATGATGTATGATGAATTATACTTGAAGATCGATGGCCAAAAATATTTCTCATTCTCATTCTCTCTCTCTCTTTTTTTGCCATCTTATTACCACCGAAAAAAAACCGACCAGAATATGCTATTGAATATTATAGCTTGTAGTGTGTAGTGCACACAAAGTTTTTTTTTTTACTACTCTCCATCGAATCCAATTTATCATCGAGGATTTTCATTATTTCTTCGTTTCTCGATTCTCGATTGTCTTTTTTTTTCTTCTTGGTGTTTTGTGTGTGTGTTTTTTTTCAATTTCTCATTTTTGTTTTCTCTCATTTAGCTTGTGTTTTAATTATTTCCGATTTTTATATAATTATTCAATGTGTGTAAAAATTTTTTTTTTTTTGTTTGATTTGATTAATTGATTTTTTTTTGTATTTTGTTTTTCAATTTTCGTTTTCTATAGATGCGCAAATCAGAATCAATGCTCAATACAGGCATCAAGTTCAATATTTGGCGATCCATGTCCTGGTACAACGAAATATCTTGAAGTACATTATAGATGCATTTCAGGTATGTTTTTTTTCTGTTTGTTTCATCAATGTTTTTGCGTTATCGAAATTGTCATTTATCTGTGTGTGTGTGTGGATGGGTGGATGGGTGTTTGCATGAAAATTGTGATCTAATCTAATCACAGTTCACATACATCATTTTCAACATCATTTTTTTTTATTTTTGCTTGATACGACTCCATTTTTTTTTCATCGAATAAAATTCATTCACCCGGCTCCATTTACACACACACACACACACACATACTTAGAGTGAATGAGACAACGACGTTATGGTCGGTCAGATCGGGTGATGGTGATGTTCCATCATCATCATCATCATCATCATCATGATCGCTGAGAGTTTAATATAATATTCCGGGCGTCGACCGTAACTTGATCTTAATCACATTTTCATTTACTCAACAAAAGAGAGACTATCTATTTTCTTTTGTTTTTTTTTTTTTCATCATCATCATCATCATCATCATTATTATTATTTCCAGTGAAAATCCTATTCAAAAAAAAAAAAATCGAAAACCATCATTCATTCATTCATTCATCTAATAATAATATTCGGTTATCTATCGATCCTTTTTTTTCCATTCGGAAAAAAACAACATAACGGTGTTTTTTGTGTTGCTTCGAAAGTTGAATGTTTTTTTTCATTCATCAATTCATCATCAAGTCAATTCTTTGAAAAATTCATTGAAAATAAATGCTGTGAATGAGTTGTTGAATGGAAAGAGAGAGAGAGAAAAAAGAACGAAAATTGAAATAGAAAATCGATTTGATTCAATTCAATTCAATTCAATTTTTGTTTTGTTTTGTTTGCCACAATAAATTGAAATGGATTCCATTTCGATTTTTTTTTCTATTACATACATACAGAATATTCTGGTTTCTGTATTTTTTTTTGTTCAAGAATATTATTATTATTATTAATCTTTTCACCTTAGATTTTTTTTTCTGGTTATTTCTTCTTTGAACAAGAATTTTTCAATAGTTCCTTATCATCATTTATAATTGATGATTATGATCATGATCATGATGATTTTGATTTCGATGCATCATCTTGTGATCCGTGTGAGGCTTATTTTTCTTTCTTCTTCCATATCTCTCACGTATACCAATCCAAAAGTGGTTACAATTTGAATAATTTATTAATGTCCAATGAACAAAATGAAACAACAAATACAAAAAAAAATTGTATACATATGCGTGGGTGTGTGAGTGTGTGTGTGGATATTCTTGTGTTTTTTTTGTTTTTTTTACTACAAAGTAACAAACATAAAACAGAATCCAGAATTTGTTTTCCATTGGTACACACAGACACATATTTCATCGCAATTATTTCATTCATTCATCCATTTTTTATTCACTGATGATGATGATGAGATGATTGATAATTTTTTTTTTTTCGTTTTTTATTTTATTATTACATTATAAATTTCCTTCTTGCGGATATGGATGTGGATGTGGATGATGATGATGATTAATAATATCGATCAAAAACAGAATTACTAGCTGCCGCATGATGTTCACGCACGAATTTTTTTTTTTTTTATTATTCTTGGTTGATGATGATGATGATGATGAACAAGAGGCTTGATTCAAGTTTCTTTTTTTTTGTTGCTCTACTTTTTGTCCTTGATATGGATAATGATGATGATGATGATGTTAGACACAAACGATAAATAAAGACGCCAAATGAAAAAAATGAAAATTTCTAATGGCATTTCTATTGTATGTGTGGTGATGGTGGTGGTGGTGGTGGTGGGAACCCTATTCATTTGAGAATGATATTCCACATCCATAGCACATTCAAAACTTATTCATCATCATCATCATCATCATAATGATGACGATGAAGGATTTTCATCTTGATCTGGTTTCAATTTTTGTGTATCCGTGTGTGTGTGTGTGTGAAAAATGATTATCAAGAAGTGCTTTTTTTCATTCTTTTTTCAGCAAATAACAGCGAAATGATTGAAATTGAAGCAAAATTAAGAGAACCGGAATGGAAAAAGTGGTATGTTGTCGATGTTGATGATGATGATGATGATTGAATAACTAGTAATAAAACTGACATTTTTTTTCCCTTGGTGAAAGGGTGATTGGGTTCGATTCCTGTATTCGATTTCTACGAACGTTCAATCAAAAAAAAAAAAAAAAAATGTCGATGTTGAAACCAGGGTGGTTATTATTATTATTATTATTATTATTATATATCATCACCAAGATGCCAAAAAACAAGGGTAAAAGACATCAATATTGATGGTTCAAAATTTCACCATTTTTCTACATTTCTTTTCAGTGTGTGTGTGTGACTGTGTGAGTCGAAAACACTTAATGGCAATAAATCAAAATTAATTCATTACGCTATTTATTAATCCAATTTTTTTTTGTTTTTTGTTTTTTTAGCACTCATTTCTCATTGATGATTGGCTATTTTTTTTTTTTTTTTTTTTTTTGGCCAAAATCTTGGTATAAATGAGTGTTTTTTAGCCATTCATTTCGAAATGGCCATTTTTTTTTTTTTTTTTTTTTCATTTTCATTATTTGATTTTCAATCATTGCAACCATGCAATTTCATCATTAAATTCATGAAAGTGAAAACAAAACAAAACAAAAAACTGAAACCATTTTTTTTTTTTTTGAGTAAATATAATAATAATTTGTGTGTTTGTTGTTGTTGTTGTTGTTAGTGAGCAGACCTCATCATCAAATCAAAGAAATATTTTTTTTTTTTCCATACACCAAAATCACACCATAGGGGTGTGAATTATCATCATCATCATCATCATCATCAGTGTTGTATAAGAGCCATTAACTCTTCAAACTACCAATATATGAATTGTATAAGATGTGAGTGAAAAAAAAAAACATTTTCGGTTTTTTCTTTCTTTTTTTTGTTGCTGCTTCGAATGCCTTACATTGTGTTTTCTTATTGTTTTTTTTTCTGTTCCTTTTTTTCTATTTTTCATTTCGTTTTATATCGTTTCACATGGATAACCGGGCCACATTTACGGATATTTTTTTTCGTTGTTGTTGTTGTTGTTGGCTAGGGGTTCAAGGGGCCACTAGAATCCAATAAAAAAAAGCCAATCAATGGGCGGCCAATATTATTATTATTATTACTATTCTCGGTTATTGGTTGATTTTTAGCTCTTGGAATTTATTTCTTTTTTCGGTACATAGACACACACACACACACAGAGAGAGAGAGAGAGAGATGTAGTCATAACATCAAGTTAAAGTCAATATTGAAAATAATTTCTTTTTCCATTTTCATTTGCCAAATATTGCATCAACAGCAGAACACAATATATCTATGCATGTTTAGGATGTTGTTGTTGTGTGTGTGTGTGTGTATACTCAATATCCAAGGATGAATCCTTGGTTTTTTTTATTATTTTTCTGGTCTAGATCAATTTCAATATTGAAAATAATCATAATAAATATAGTGGTCTTCATAAATTAGTTGTGGAATTTTTTTTTTTTTTGAGTGAAAAAAAGAACTTACAACCCAAAATAAGAAATTTTTTTTGCCGACAAAATACAACAAACGGAAATTGTCATACAGAACTAAACTTTTTTCTCTCTGTGTGTGTGTGTGTGTGCACACACATAAATAACAGAAGAATCTTTCATCGTCATGTATATGTGTTATATTTGCTTCTTATTCTGGTATATTATTGATTCCAAAAGTTAAAATATATCCGGTTTTTATATGCGGAAACCTCATACTACCAGAAAGCTAAATAAACAAACAAACAAACAAACCAATGGAAAAATAACCTATGAATGGTCACTATGGAATTTTTTTTTGATCAAATTCGATTAATTTATTTGCATTCAATCAAACCAAACATTTATTTCTATTCAGCTAAATCATATATGTTCAATTTGTTCAATTTTTTTTTTTGATTTTAATTTTGATTTTGATTTTCACACTAATGATCATCATCATCATCATCATTTTATCATTCTCTAGTCTAGACATCAGAAAATTGTTTCATTGAATGTTTCCGTTTAAAGAATTGTCATGAATTTCCTTGGTGGAAATATGAGGAAAAAAAATTTATTCTCACACACACACACACACGAATCGTTTAAAGTTGATAATGAAGAAGAAGAAAAAGAAAAACAAGAAAAGGAAAAAGTGAAGAAAATACAAATTCCATAAAGTTACTGAATGAATGTCTTGAACATTGTCGGAAAAAAATGACATTTCTCTCTCTCTCTCTTTCCTTGTTCGTCTCATTGACTAGAAAATAACAACAGCAAAAAAAAAAGAAGATCTAAATGATCTGAAAAAAAAGTATTTGAGTCATTTATTTTTGATCATTTAAAATTGTTATCGATCGATATTGACGATGATGATGATGATGATGATGATGAGCATGGGTGATGTGACAATATGTGGCCATCGACCAACAATAAACGAAAAAAAAAGTTCATCGAAAAAATAAAATGAAACTGACACTGACACTAACACACACAGCTTTCAATGATGATTATTATTACAGTGAATTTTTTTTCTTTGAATGAAATGAAATTTTTTTTGGAGAAAAAAAAACCGAATCAAAAATAACTATATATTCAAGCTGTGTGCGTTTGTTTTTGTATGATCATCATAATGATTCATTGATGTAAAATGATCCGGCTACTACTAGTTAAGTTTTGTTTGCGTCTGTGTATGCGATTATATACTATTAAAAAACAATGTTTTCACATACGACAACAACAACAATCAATTCAAGCAGAAAGACCTCAGACCAATGCAAACCAACAGCAGTCAAAAAAAAAGAAAATAAAACTCCTATAGCCATAATAACAAAGTTGTTTTACTTTTGGATCAATTTTTCTCACTTGATTTGTGTTTGCCCTGCACAAAGTTCTGGGTTTTTTTTCAAGAATTTCTTTTTTTGACTCATTTAATTCATCACAAACATCAAGAAATGATATTTGAAAAAAAAATTGAATTCTGTTTCAATAATGTGCATGTGGTAACAAAAAAACAAAATTGGCATTCAAATGAAATGGAATGAAATTTTTGATTTGTGTTCGTTTGATATTCTTATGTGTGTGTGTGTGTGTGTGTCTCTGATGATATGGAATGACAAATATTCATTAACCTGGATTCCAATGGTGAGTGGTGAAAAGAAGAAAAAGAAAAAAAAACTAATTTTCAAGACATTTTTCTTTACTATTTTCTTTTTTATTCACTGAATTTACTGTACTGTTTCAAGATTTTTAGATTGAATGAAATAGAAATAAATTGAATGAATAATAATGTCATTTATATGCTTTCTCTCTCTGTGTGTGTGTGTGTGTGTAATGTATGAAATTTTCTTACTTTACTCCTTTTTTTTTGGTCGCTCTTGTGGAAATGAAAAGAATATTCTGCACACACACACACACATCCAATGACTTCTTCTTGTTAATTCTCTGGAAATGACAGAAATCCAATGGAAAATGAAAAAAAAAATCTTTGAATCCACCGTAAGCCAAAATAAGAGAGACAGAAGAAAAAAACTCAATTTTAATTAACTCGTGTTTAGATGATGATTCTGAATGGTAATGATGATGATGATGATGATGATGATAATAATAATTTTCTCGTTTTCTCATTTTCATTATTTTTGCTTAATCTTTATGATGAGAAAAAAAAGTACCATCATCATCATCAATCAATGAATGAATGAATGAATGAATTTACATCAACAGAATGCAAAGAATCATATATGAAAATGAATATATATAAAAAAAACCAATATTCACCACCACTTCCTCTATTTCCTTTTCATTTGATTTTCCATCATCATCATCAAATTCGTTTGAAATTGGATTCGATTCAATTCGATTTTCATTTTCACTACCATCTATATTACCATTACAAAATCCAATATCAAATACCAATATATTCATTTTGTCTTTTTTTTTAAAAACAAAAACAAAAAACAAATTAATGAATTTGAATTCACCCACACACACACTGAAAGTTTGAATCCACCACCATTGGGGTTGTGACTAGTTCATTCATTCATTCGTTTCAATTTCAAACGATTTTTTCTCTCTCTTTTGATATCATCATTATTTTTATATTTGGGGTAAATGTAGAGAGAAAATGAATGCAAAATGTTATTATCTACTCAATTTCTATTCAGTTTTTTTTTTTTTCCAAATCAATGACAGTCTTGGTGAATTTTTTTTTTATTATTCAATGATAACCCATATGCATGTGATTGAATGTGTTAATTTGAATGTTATCTTGAATTTGACAGAATTGTACAGAATTTTTTTTGTTTTGTTTTTCTCTAACCCATTCTTGCTGCTGGTTGGCATGATGATGATGATGATGATGATGTTGGTGAATCATTGATGATCCAGTAGTTTTCAAAGTTGAGATTTTTTTTATTTTAGTTTTTTTTCGATAACTTTCTTGGTTATCAATAATCATAATGAAATCACTCTGTCTTTTCATGTCTAAATGTCGATCTCTGTGTGTGTGTGTGTGTGTGTGTGTGTAGATCTTATTCGTAGAATTAATCTCACTGTTATGAATCTTTCTCCTGTGTGTTTGTATCTATCGTGGATTTATGTTCAATTTCGATTTTTTTTCATTCATTCATTCTTTCTGTCTGTCTGTGTGTGTGTGTGTGTGTCTGTAATATCGTTGTTAATTTTTCACTTCTGTTTTTTGTTTCAATCCACCATCCATTTATTATGTGTGATTCTGATTCCTTTTTTTTTTTTTCTTTTTTTTTGTTTTTTTGTTTCGTTTTTTTTTTGCACAGAAATTGAACGTATCGAATCGAATCGTATAAATTCAAATAAATCTGTATCAACGACAATTATTGGCAATAATAATAATAATTCAGCGAATGGTTTAGTATTGCCATCAGATTTATATTTTATGAGAAAGATTAGTGATAATGATAATGATTCAAATCATTCTTCCATGATGACAATGGCAACAATATTGCCATTGAATAATAATAATCAAGATTATTTTGTTCGTAATCATCAAAATCATCCACGAATTATTACTAATGAAAATATACAACAACAACAACAACAACAACAACAAAATATTCATCATCAAAGCCTAGTTCCTGTGCCTACAACAACAACAACAACACCGATAACAACAACAATAACAACAACAAATCATCAATCTTTAGATGAAGAAACAATGAGCTTTCAAAATAAAATTGGTATGTGATTTAATTATCAATTTTGATCTAATCTAATCGAATCTTATATCTAATTAAATTAGAAATTCATAATACAATAAAAAATAAATCTGCCTCTAAAAATGAAATCAATATTCCCATTGGTAATATGGATACATCATCATCATCATCATCATTGTCATCAACATGCGATCCAATAATTTATCGAGATATTCAATGGCCACCAACACCGTCCGGTACAATTGCTATCCGGTCATGTCCACATGATACTTCGGGTATGTGAATGATACCAATACATTTTGATCATAGACCAAAAAAAAAAAAAACACAAAACAAAATAAAAAACAAATTATGGTTATTGTTTTATTTCCGTATATATATATAAAAAAATAATGATAATAATAACCAAATTGCATGAATGATAATGATATACCATCATTGTGTGTGTGTGTATATAACAACCATTCTGAATGTGAAAACAATAGCTGTCCGAATCCCAGTGCAATAATAACAATAGAAAAATAGAAAAAAAAAGGAAATAATAGAATATATATATATCCAGAATAAACATCTCCTTCACAGTGTTTCATAGCCATATAAATTCATGATTTGCGGTTTTTATACACATTGTTATACATGCATTTTTTTTTTTAAAATTTTTTTTTTTTTTTTTTGAATTTTTCTTTCCACATTTTCACATAATTCTGATGGCTCATTCAACGATGATGATGAGAATGATGATGATGATGATGATTTTCATCATCATTTATTTACTATTCGTTTTTATGTCATTTTTTTGTGTAGATAGCCATATAATATAATTTTAGTTGTTTAAAAAAATATAATTAAATTGCATTACACTCCATTTATATACACACAGGATTGGCACAATGGAGATGTGGAAACAACAACAAAATCAATGGAAATGGTCATTTTTCAAATTCTAAACCACCACAGCCACCACAACCACCACTACCGTTATTGATGATGTCAATGTCAACATCGTCTAAACAATCAAAAGCACCATTATCAATAGGACCGGCTAGAATCCCTATAACCACAACCAATAATGGTAGTCAACAACAGAATGGCCACCACCTTTTTCATAATAATAATCGAGCTTCATGGATACAATTGCCTGATCTTTCACAATGTCATTCTCGTTGGCTTCTTCAGCTAAATTCTATTCAAGTAAGTTTGTTTCTTGGAAATCATTTCCATTTGGATCGATGATGATGATGATGATGAAAAATTGGGAAAAAAAGAAAGTCGCGTGTCTCTTCCAAGAATCTCGAAAGTGGTTTTTTTTACTATTGAATGAATCCTGTATGTTATTTCTAATAATGAACAGAATTTTCAAAACAAAGAGAGAGAAAAAACATAAAAAGTTTGATTTGATGATTTATTCCACTTTTGCACATCATTGATTCACAATTCAGTAATGATAAAAAATGATCTTTTCCATCCATGAGACTTTTTTTTCTTGTTAAAATTCTACAATATTCTGTTGTAGAGAAAAAAGAGAAATTCTATATGACGCACGAAACATTATTATGTTTTTCATTTTTTTTCTCATCATAGAATATAAATTACAACTATCGCAACGATATTTGGCATTCAATATTGGCCAATATGCAACATTCACCATTATATGGTGGTGATATTAATCAATTGATTATATTGCTTGAAAATTGGTCTCTACGTTATTTTCATTTGGCTGTGGATGGAAATCGTTTTAAAAATTTTTCAAATCAAATCACTGGATTAGATGTAAGCCATTCATTCATATATGGAATACAAAAGAACGAAAAAAGAATCTTTTGTGTTCTTCTTCTTTTTTTGTTGTTGTTGGATTCTTTACGTTCGTCTATAATAATGGAGCAAAATACTTTTTTATTATTTCGTTTCTTTTGTATGGAAAGACCATTTTCGAGATCATATCTGAACTATTGAACCGAAATCATTTGGCAAGCTGGCTAGATTTACCTGATATAAAACGTGAAACGGCTGCATTGAATTTGATGGATATTACAATGAAATATTCAACATTATATTGTTTAAATTATCGATCAAAAAATACGGTAGTAGCAGTTACAGCATCAACAACAACAACAACAACAACAACGACAACTTCAACAGATTCAAAAGAAACGATTAAACAATCACAATATCTAAGTAAGTTTTTTTTTTGATAATGAATTTCGCTTCGTTTTTCATTAATTCATTTTCGCCTTTTTCTTTTCAAATATACAATACAATTCAATTTGAAACCATTGTGTGTGTGTGTGTGTACCACCCGGCATATATATATATACCAATTTATTATTCTGTCTAAAAAAAAAGTCATGTCGTGTTTTTCAATTTCCAAGTTGATACATGAATTTCAATTAAATTGGAATAAACTTAGTGAACAGTTACAACAAAGCCAAATGAATGTTAGTGAATTTAAATACGAGCTATTGTCATTACCATCGACATCGACATCGACAACAATGGATGATAATAAAATCAAAGTCTTTTTAATATTGAACAATGTAGAAGAACAATCCAATATTATACTCACTGGTAAGTGGTGAATGAATCAATGATTTTCAAGAATTTCAAATTCTTTTTTCTTTTTTTTGTGTGTGTGTGTGTCTGTATCGCAATAATCGAATTGAATTCTCTTTTTTTTCTCATATATACAGAAAACATTTATTTTTCAATGTTGATTCCAATCAATCTGGAAAACTATTTTCAATTATCCAATATGGATATTTTTACAAACAATGACCATAATGGTGATGATAATAATGGTCATCATGATCAAATGGCTGAATCATTTTTAAATTTAATACAAATTGAATCAACTGAATCATTGTTGCAAGATCATGATGATCACATGGATACAACAGCAACAACAACAACAACAACAACATTTATCAATGGTCAAATAATAAAATTCATTCGATTTAATGATGAACAAATTCTTCCGATCCAACAACAACAACAACAACAACAACATCAAACATCATCGAGCAACATTAACAAAAACATTGACGTTGGTCAATCGGAAACATCATCATCATTTAGCAATCATTATGCTTTTGAAATCATTTTCAAACATCTAGTCGATTATGATAATAATAATGATCATGATGATGGCGATGTAGGCGATAATTTTATTGTTGTTCATCATCATCATCATCATCAATGTGTTCATTGGGATGAAACGGTCAAGTAAGTAGTAAATCAATGTAATATTGGAATGAATTTTAGCATCAGAATAAACAAAAAAAAAATGATATTCATGTTTGTTTTTTTTTTCTCATCTCGTTTCTTTCGTTATTGTTATCGTTATCAAGTCATTGGTCCAATGAACATTGTACATTATTAGAAACAAATGCAACCCATTCTATTTGTCGTTGTAGACCGGCTGGTTTATCCATATGTACAATATTGGCTATTGGTGTACAGAATCCTCATCATCATCAACAACGGCAACAGCAACAACAATCAACTTATAATTTGACCAGTTTGGTATGTGTTTTCTTTATATATGTCCAATCCATTTATTTTGTTCCCATTTTGGTGTGCAACATTCACATTTTCCATATTAAAGTAGAATAACATCATAGATATACACATGAATATATTGTTGTTAATGATAAAACAAACACAGACACACACATACACACACATCATTCAAGCAAACAAATTAGGTTCAATTTATGTCAACTTGAATTGATTCAAAGTTTGTTATATATATTGTAATAATTGCATTATTTATTCTTTCTTTCTTTCTTTCTTTATTATAATAAACAGGAATTACCACCAGAAGTTGATAATGAAAATAATCAAATGTCAAATGAATTGATTCTGGCCAAACATAGTGGAATATTATCATTAACATTAATCATTTACATATGGATTGCATTATTATTAATCAGGTATAATGATAATCGAAATCAAAAAAAATGTCAATTCAGCATCTATATATAATCCCAACCCAATTAACCAATGTTGATTTATCTTTTCTTTTCTTTACAATATTTACATACTACAGATATCATCATGAAAATTATTTCAATCAATCCAATTTCATTACATTATTATTAATCTGTATTGTACGTACAATGATTGAATTGAGTTCGACATTCAATATATTCGGCATGTTCATCACAACAACAACAGCAGCCAATAATGATAGAAATTGGTGGATGAATAATACAAAATGGTGGTGCCATTCACGAATGTTTATCATCATTTATCAATTACAAATAATTTGTTCACTATTCACCGTATTTTTATTTCAAAATGTGATCATATTATTATTGGCAAACAAAATTTATTTGACAAAAAATTATTACAACATTTTACAATCGTTAAAACAATCAAAACAATTACAATTATTGATCACCATATTGTTTCCATTGATACATCAATTTGTTATATTTATATTTGTCAAAAATTTTCATACAAATTGTTGGCCAATTTTTAATTCCATTGTGACAGCATTTTTTGTTACATCATCAATATTACAGATAACATTGGTAAGAGATGTTTTCAAAGATATATTCAACATTCCATTCCGACCCGAACCCAAAAGAAGAAAAAAAAATTCCAACTAAAAGAAAACTAAATTTTTTTTTTTGTTTTGTTTTTCTCATTTCAGATTCTTACCTCCGGTGTGATTTATTTACATTGTTCACAACGTGTCTTTTCTGAATATGATTATCCAACCAATATGCAATTTGCAAATTTACAGCAAACTAAAAATAATAATAATAATAATAATACTGCATGTTTAATGGAAAAACATGTTAAAGAATTATTCTTTAGCAGGTAGCTATAAATCACATTTATATATTTGAATATTTGTCATACCCCGTCAGCCACAGCAGAAGAATTCGTGACTAATGTTACCAATTTATTTATTTTTTGTTTTGTTTCATCACAACAACCAACCAAACAGATGCAAACATGTAACAATTTGGATCATCGCTATTGTGATATATCTAATCTGTGTCGTTGGATGTCTCTGTTGTTCATTATATTATCGTCATACATCATATGCAATGATTGGAATTGACATTTCCATTTCGTTGACATTCGTTCTATTCGCAAGAGTCAAATATCTATTTAATTTGATTGTAAAATGTAGCCATTGTCGTGGTGGTGTTGGTGGTGGTGGTGGTAGCCATCGATCATCGAAAAATATTGATCATCATCATCATAATCATTGTTATAATAATAACAGTAATAATATACATCATATGATTAACAATCCTATTGGCCAAATAGAATCAGCATCATCATCAATAGATTCAAAACAAACTCGTGATAATTCTATCAGTATATTATCGGATACAAGTAAAACTTTTCTTACATTACCATCATCAAATGGTGGTCAAATGTCATCATCATTGGGATCACCAAAAATCTATCCAACTACAAATACTATACATCAATCATCATGTATTTATGGTGATGGTTTCACCAATGTTATCGTAACAAGCCCAGGCCGTACAATAACAACAGCAACAGCAACAACAACAATGAACAATACAAATCCATCATCTCATCTATATGAATCTCCATCACATCTATACAATTACGAATATGAACGACGTTTCCATCATATTGGTGGTGGTAGCCATAAAAATGGCAAAAATATTTCATCTCCAACAACAACAATGCAAAACATATATAATACGACTACGATATCCGCTACAAATCATCATAATCATCATCATCATCATCAGAGACATTTTTATCCGCTCGATGGAATCATACGACCATTGCCATGTCATACTAATTCAACGAATAATCATCAACGACATTCAGCAGCCATTCGTGATTCCAGTATGTATTAGCCCAATTTCGCATCATTAATCATCAACAGGAAAACGAAAAGAAAAAATAAAAAAAAGAATTCTTCCTTTTCTAATTTGTTTCCGTTTTCATTTTTTTTTCTTTCTCTCTCTCTCCATATATTTTTTTCTTTCTTTTGATTCATTCATTTTTTCATTTCATTTCATTTCATATCCATATCAATTCATTCATTTATATGGAACAAAAAACGACAATTCTGTGCGATGTGTTTTAGACATGAGTCTCAATCGTATACGATCACATTTTGTTGCATCACACCTTCAACAACATGGACCATCATCAACAACTAATAATCGAGCCTATTCATTTGATCGACCAAATTTTTCTTGAATTAATGAATGATGAATTGAAATAAATAAAATAAAATAAAAAAATGTTACAATCTGTATTGAATCAATAAATGTCACACATGTGTTCATAATAATAATAATATTAAAAATGGAATGAGACGGAAATATACAATTCAATCTAATTATCACCAACCACTTGGTGGTGTTGTTGTTGTTTTGATTTTATCAAAGACATAATCATGTTGGTTCATTGGATGTTCGAATCTTCATCTCTTTTTTTCTGTTGTTGTTGTTGTTGTTGTTGGACAATTTGATAAGTCAATTCTGTATTCTTTTTTTGTTGTTGTTGTTGTTGTCAAAAAAAAAAGCTCAGAATTTTCAGGAAAAAAAATTTTTTTTCAGCTCCAAGTTTGTTTCGTAAGTAGTGTCTTTATATTTGTATTTATTATTATTATTTCTTGGTATTAATTTTCTTGTTTTTATTTTCCAAAACAAAAAAAAAAAATAAATAAATAAAGATTCAAAACACATGATGATGATGATGATGATATTTGTGCTCTTCTGGAATTGTTATTCGTAAATATTTCAAGATATTCTACATGTAGTCGATTGGTTTGCATTGCTTTTCATCATTTGATAATCATCTTAGTTGCATACATCAAATATATATGGGTAAAAAGAGAGAGAAAAAAAATTGAAAAATTAATTATTGATTGATTTTTGTTTCTATATTCATTATTAACAGGAAAAAAAATGAACACTACATAATACACATGACTACAAATTGTACATTACTACTTACTATTCAACATTCGTGAAAGAATATCATCTGCCGAATCGGCTGAAGTTGTAAAAATCAATTCCTTTAATATGTTTACGGGTATTAGTCGAAGATGTTGTTTTTCTGCAATTTCAATCAATTTTTTAATATTATTCTAAATGATGGAATTTTTTGGATTTAAGAATGAGAAGAAGAAGTAGAAGGAAAAAAAACATCATTAATTTACATATATGTCATTGGTGTAGGGTTCATATTTATGGACTTTATCATCATCATTTGAATGAATGAAACAAAACAAAAAAAAAACATTTACAATTCTTTGATGCATTCGTGCCTGCTGTTTTTTCAACAACAGTAGTTCAACAATAATACTCTGTTTATTTGGATCGATGACCCGTCCATTCATTTTAAAACCATTCATCAATTCTGAACCGGCTTTAGCTAGTTCTTCTTGTAGTAATTCTTTTCCTGTTTCATGATGATGTTGATGATGATTATTATTATTATTATTATTACGACCATTATTTATTGTAGTATATGGTACATTAGACATTGGTGGTGGTATCATATAGCCAGATTTAAGCAGCTGTCTACCCCATATTTCAATATTGAGTATTCCTTCTTTCAAATAATCGATTAATGGCTGTGTTACATGACTATAATGGAATAATTTTTTAAAATTAAAATTCGGATTGACCGTTACGCCAACTTTATCCGAAATGGAATAATTTTCATCGACAAACATTAAATATTTTAAATATATTTCCTGTGAATATGAAGAGAAAAAAACATTATTATTTTTTTTTTGTTGAAAAAAAAGTAATTTAGCAACAACAAACAAAAACTTACAGTAAATTTATTTGGCAATCCACGGCAGCCTATTATTTTGATAATAAAATTCAATGATTTTCCTAACAATTCTTGTGGTGTATCCACATAAACATCATCTTGTTCAACATATTCTTGGCCATTCTCATCACATGGTATTATTTCAACATTGATAACACCAATTTCTTGGCCAGTAAAATCATTGACAGAAAGATGTTCTTTTATTTCAATCATATAGGCAAGTGGTTGTAAATATAATTGTGCGGTACCAATTAAACATTCAGCATCAAGATTTTCTGTAAATGGATCTTCTTCCTTTGAGAATCAGAAACAAAACAAAAAAATATGATCATAAGGTGTATGTGTGTGTGTGTGTGTGTTAGTGTGTTTTAAATCAAATCACATACCAATGGAACATCCCATTCTTCTTCACCAGTTTCATAACAATGATACATTTGTTTCATAAAATACATTCGATCTAGAAATTTTTCTTTATTCCAAAGAAATTCTTGACCTGTATTCGAATTCATCACGTGTACATATGGCTTTATATGTGTGTTTTTTTGATTTTGGAAAATGGGAGAAAAAAAAAAAAAAGAAATAAAACAAAAAAAATAATAATTTCAGATTTCTTCACTACCAGATTTTCTTATAATCAAATATTTATCATCATCATCTTACTTCAGGTTTACGGCCAATTTTCCCTAAAAATATTGGCGATACAAGTACATTTTCAAAATGGACCATTTTTTCCAATTCTTCACTAATGGCATTTGCCTCCTCAACAGCTGGAATCAATTCTAATAGTTCTTTATTCAACAATTCCTGTTCAATTGAGTTATCATCGTTGTTAAAATTATAGCCAGCTTTTGATGCTATTTCTTCTTGTGCTAATTCATATGTTACATTCAATATGGAATTTCCATGCAAACTATCAAGAGGATTCCTGAATACAAACAATTGTGATGTACCGAATAATAACCTATAATGATGATAAGCAGAATAAATGGGAATTAGAGTGATAGAGAGAGAATAAAAATGTCAATTTGTATAAAAATCCAAATAAATTAGTGATTTATTGCCATTCAATAATACCATATATACCTATCATTATGTGCTAAATTGACTTTATGTGTGACTAGATCACCATTCAATAGGATACGACATTCATCATCGATACGTTCCAATATGATTTTTTCATTTTCCGTACGATTAATAACAGCATGATGATCCTGTATCAATGGACCCATCAATTGTATTGGACAATCACCGCCTTTGCCAATCAAATTTGTGCCAGTTTTAATAATGAAAATAATTTTATCTACAAGTTGTTCATCGAAATTCAGATTGGACAAATGTGGATTCATTTCTTTTTGCTGTTTTTCAAGTTCAATTTGTTTACGATTTTCTTCAAGCTCTTTATGTGAACGTTCTTGTCGTTCCTGTTGTAAACGTTCTTCATATGATTGTCGTAATGCATTTAATTTTCTTTCATTTTCCTTCATAATGGCTTCAATTTCTTCTTCTAATTTCAATTTATTATCATCATCTATTATAAAATGAAAAATGAAAATGAAAATGAAAATCAAGAAACAAAAACAAAAACATGATGGAAAATGAAGAATCAATGATACCGTAAAAGGACTGTGATGGTGATTTGGACAATGTTGTTGAGGCAGTATTGGTGGCCACGGCAGCCGAAGCAGCAGCCGCTGCTGCTGCTGCTACTGTCGATTCTTTTTCCAATAATTTTTTCAATTTTTCATTCTCTTCTTTAAGATCTCTGATAATCTTATCAGTATTATCAATGTTGATTTTGGCAAAATTCTGTATCTGTTTCGCTCGATCGGCTATAAGGAAAAATTTGTAATAATAAATTTTTTCATTTCAATCATTATATAACACCATTGTTCCAAACAAAATAAAAATTGAAACAATCAGACCATAGAATGATCAATGATTAGAAAATTTTTTGAATGATACAAACCATAACGTAATGTTGATAATGTTTCATCATAGTTGATATCAGCTGGGCTAATATTGGCAATCATTGCCGTTTTACTGTTACCACCCAATGCATTCATTAATAATCGTGTTAACACTGATTCACGATATGGTACTTTAACATTACGACCATTTGCTTTTTCAGCCAATGCATGTATACAATTGCCTAAACATGACAATGACTGATTAATGGCAACAGATTCACGGAATCGATCACCAGTAACGGAATTTCGTCCACCAGCTAAATCAGATAGTCGTTCACTATTTTTTTTTTTTAAGATCATCATTTTAATTAATGAAATTGATATTGATATCGGTTGAAATTAATCATTTATTTACCTTCCAGCTAGATCGACAAGATTTATTACAGATGTTTTCGTCTCTTCATTGCCATTCGAATTGATTGAACGTTGACTCAATGTTATTGTGATTATCATATGTGATCGTGATGATGTTTCATTCATATTTGTTGCCGATATACTACGATTAGTGACACCTTGTTCAAATTTTTCCAGAATTTCTTTCTGCGATAAAACCGTACAACGTATTAGGCCTTCAGCTGATATGTATGAAAAAAATGTGGAAAATTTTCAATTTAATAAAAACAAAATGACACAAGTTGTGAAATTATCATCATACCGAAAAAACCTTTTACAGGATGTTCACGAATTTTTAATCCTTTCTTTTTCACATTATATTCAGTATCAAGAAGATCACGTACATTTTCTGAATATAATTCTATCATGGACAAATTTACTTCAGTATTAATATCCATTCCTTTACGATTATCAATAATATTGAATAATTCTTCACAAATTCTTGGCACTAATCCTTTGTTGGCGCCTAGGCCAACCATTGTATATGATTTTCCGGAACCAGTTTGACCATAACAAAATAATGATACATTATAACCACGCCATGCATTATTGAGCAATGGTAATGCTAATGTTTGAAATATACATTGCTACACGGTAAAGAGAAAAAATTCAATTTCAGTTAAATATAAATCCCATCATCATCATCATCATACTTGATCGGCATAAATTTCACCATCCGGATGATTATTATCGGCCACAAATAGACCATTCTGTGCTTCAGTAAATCCATCATGTGACCAAAAAATACGATCATAAATAAAACGTTTACGATTATCATCATCTTCCGGATGATTCAATATTATACTATTCGAATCAATCAACGATACTATTGATTTGGCTGAACGTTTTTTTTCTCGTTGATTGTGTTTTAATCAAACGAAACGAAATGAATATATATAGAAAAACAAATAGATAAAATTAAGGAATAATAATCAAAAATCGATTTGTAAAATTTTGTTTGTTAGTTTGTTTTTTTTTAAAAGGATATGAATGGTCGTATACGAACGCTGACAAAAACATTTTCAATTTCTTTAATATCCATTGGCGATATCTGTAATGATGAAATTGTTGAAACAACGTATTTATCTGTTACAACAACAACAAATAAATAAAAAACTTACATTTCGCATGATGATTATGATTATGGTGATGATGATGATTATGATTATGATTATGATTTATTTTTATTGCCACTCTATCAGACATTTGCCATTTGTGAATCTTAAATTAGATGTATATGTTGTTGGTTTGCTTGTTATACAGTTGGCACAATTGTTGTTGTTGGTGTTTTTGTTGTTGTTGTTGTTTTTATTGATTGATTTGAATAACAAAAAAATAAGAAGACAGAAACAGAAACTTTATTCTTTGCCAATCAATATGAATACCGTGTATGAATTTCTTCCAATTCTCTATGGCAACCACGACGACTACGACGACGACAATTTCATCATCAAAACAATGAAAAAAAGAAAATTTTGAATTTCTAAAAATAAAAAAAAATTTTCACAAGAAAACATTTGACATTTTTTTTCTGTTGTTTCACTGTTGCTATTGCAATACACACACACACACACACACTCAGATAATGTTTATAGATGGTGACAATTACAATTCGAATCAGATTACATTTTTACATCGAATCATCATTAAAAAAAATCAACAAGAGTAGAAATAGACCAATTTCATCAACCAACCAGCCAATCAACCGAGTGAATAAACGATCCAACAACAACAAAAACAACAACAAAAATTCCAAAACAAACAATTCAGGTATTGTATTAGGATTCACATATATTACAAGCCAAAATCTCCGTATGAATGAATGAATGAATGGCGGTATCCTGGGTATTTCTTTCTGGAACCGTAGTAAATGAATCATCGTAATAGTCATATAATAATCATCATGGATCATGGATAATAAAATACAGCACCACCACCACCACCACCACCACCACTCTTTTTTGGATATGGAGTGAAATAGAAAGATTAAACAACGTTTAAATAAAAGTTCATTGTACGGATTTGTTTTTTGTTGTTGTTGTTGTTGTTGTTGTTGTTGTTTGGTGGTTGATTGTTGATTACCACCCCGTTATTTCTCCAGTTGGAAATGTTGTTTACCCTACCTACCTACCTACCTATCTGGGAAAAAAAACATCATCTTTAATTCATAAAGAAAAACTCACCCTCTGGCTTTCAAAATATACCAAAAACAATGACCATTTTCGAATGAAATTTTTTCTTCTTCTTCGCTCCATATATTCAATTATTCATGAATCATCATAATAGATAAATTATGTAATAATTATATTATTAACCAAAATGACCGTGTGTGTGTGTGTGTGTTTTGAGTGGTGCGATTTTCGATGAAATTCGCCATTCTCAAATCATCATCATGATCATTTTTTGTGTGTGTGATTTTCACGTACCACATGAGAGAAACAATGCAAAAAATTAATCTGGTTGATTGTATTCAAACTTTTGTTGGTGATTCATTTTCAAAAAAAAAAAAAAAAATTTTCACTCCAATTCATTGATAGTGATTGGTCACGCGTGTTTGCAATATATTCAAACAACAACAACAACAACAACAACAACAACAACAACAACAACAACAACAATTTCATTTTTTTTTTTTTTCATTTCAAATTCAAATTTTTTTTTTTTTTGATTTTATCCAGAAATTTTTTTTTGCTTTGTTTTTACAGTGTGTGTGTGTGTGTGTTTGGCATTCTATTAGAAAACAGAATAATTGGTTTGTTTTTGTTTTTAATAATCAATCCAACGATTGATATCAAAATTTTCATGGATCAATTTACCGATATTATTAATATTGAATCGAAATATAACTCAATCCTTTCCTTGGATTTTTCCATCGTTAAAATTTTCATTTTGTTTTACCAAATCATCAAAAATTGTTCTTGCCGTATTTCGAATTTTTGTACGTTCATAAACGGTTGGATAATGATCATATACTTCCCATAAATACCAGAAATGGTGTGTAGAACGTTTTCTAAACCTCTGGCGAGAACGAACGATGAATGCAGATTTTTTCCCAATTTTCAATTATTTTTTCATTGAATTTATTCGTTAATAACCAGTCATCAAAATAATTGATAAACTGGGAATCAAAATCAGTTGGTTTTTGAAAATGACTTTAAATTGAATCGGATGATGATGTTGATGATGATGACGTTTGAATTGGAAACGATAAAATAAATTGAAAGGAATAAATAAATAACAATATTAACTGATTTGTTTTTCCATATTCAATAGATTTTCATAAGGAAAAACATCAAAAAGATAATTTGTTGTTGAATTCTGATATATCAAACAAAAATACGTTGTAGAAATTCAACAAAACAAAACAAATAGAATGTTGAGTGAAAGAAGAAAAGGAAATAGTTCAAAGTGAAACAAAACTTTTGTTTTACAGATGCACGTGAATGTGTATGGTTTACTCTTATTGTGTTTAATTTTTCAAGTATCATTCATATAGTATATTATGTTTTAAAGAAATTTCGATTTGAATTTGTGTTTATGTTTACATTTTCATGTTTATTTTCATGTTCAGCTTTCAATTTATTCTTATGTTCGACTTGATTGAATAGCTGCTAATCGATATTGTTCTTGAATAATTTTTCGATAATTTTCTGTTTTGTTGTGTTGACAAAAGATGAGTATTACTGTTATTGATAATAATATGATTAATATTATTGTGATTATGTAAATATAATATGATTGTATGTATGAATAAATAATCTTGTTAATAAGTGTGTCTTCTTTTTCAATCATTGTAGATAAATCATGCAAATTAATCGTTGAATTAAAAGAATTGAATGCTTGAAAGTTCAAGATCTCATTCATATCATCATGAATGATATGATGTAAATCAATTTTCATCTTCGTGAAATATACGGTTTGCCGATTAATCGTTAAATTTTGTCCTCGATTAATTTTGTAAATTTGATTTTTACAGGGATACATCAATCCTTGAACAGTGATGTTCTGATTGTAACAATAAAAATAAACAAAATCGTTATCACTTTTTACTTGAACAATCTCTTCTGGTGTTATCAATTCTTTCGCTTTACATTCAACAGTTTTCCATTTCGCTTCAACAGAATTCGTTTCATTTTTGCAATTAACTGAATGAAAAATAAATGGTGCTTGATGATCATTGATTGGTTCAAATATTATGTTTCTTGCACATTTAGTTCTTTTATTTATTATTGCATATTTTGATCCTGTGTATCTGGATATACAAAAATTTGATTTATTCAAGTGATCATTAACCAGAAGATAAAATGGATCTGCACGAATTATTTCATATTCTTTATCTATTTTAACTGCATTAATATACAATCTTAAAATGCTTTCATAAGGAGATTGATGTGGTCGAAATTGACATTCTTCTAAAAACCAATTGTCTGATGGACAATCAACACATATTGAAATATTTTCAAAAAATGGAAAAAATGGCTTTTTGAAATTGGTTTATCTGATGACATAATAAAACTTCATTAATCAACATTTCTTGATTTGTAAGAATTTTGCATAAAACATCGATGAAATCTCTCTCTTATTAGAAGAAATATGTTTCAGTCTATCTATTTCTTGTTGCATTAAAATCAATTGATCAACCATTTTCTGATGTATGTTATGATCCAATTTCTTAAGTTCATTTTCAGTTAATGATTGTTCATTTATACCAGATTGACTTTTAATATATGCAGCATATCCAATGGTGGCTACCATAACAATTACGGTTATTATTACTCCAGCTGCAAATGCAATAATATTTCGTTTAAACTTGAATTTCTTTTTATCCTTTAACGGTATGCAATGTTTTTGAAATGTTTGAATCACTAATCGTTGATATTTCTCTTCACATTTGATCTTTGTTCCTCAAATTCCATAGATCGATTTTTTCTTTATTGGTGATATCCAAGTTGAATTAATTGTATCACATGGAGATCTTAAATGAATATCAATTCCAGTGCTTGTACGTATTCTGTTGCTACATGATGTTTTGATCTTCTCCAAATGATCGGATAAGTAGGTGTGTTTGGACTGTGTTTGATATGATTAATTATGAGTCCGATGATTACAAAATAAATGATTTTTGCATATTTATTCATGTTTAACTAATTTTACATTGATATTGATATATTAATGAGAAAAACAAAAATAAAATAAAATTATTCTTTCTTAGTTTTCCTTCAGTTTTTAATCAAAGATTTTCTTTTATATTTTGTTTTTGTTTTTATAAAGAACTCCTTATTCATCACTTTCTATTGATTCATCATCAATAATTGTATAACCTCTATACCCTGTTCTTGTGTTCAATGGTTTCATGTTTTCTATATGTGATGTTACTTCATTACCTGCTACATTAAGAACATAAATAACATCTGAACATCGGTTAACTATTTCAAATGGCCCTTCATATCTTGGATCTAATTTATTTCTATTCAAATCATCAGCTATTTTCGCATAAACCCAATCACCAATTGAAAACTGCCAATTCTTTCTTCTTTTATCATAGTATAATTGATTTCTTTTATGATCCATCGATGATTTAACAAATGCGTCAGATCTGTAGGGTTCAATATCTTCAACAGGTTCTCTTAGATAATCATTATGTCTTTCTTCAGCAAACAGAAGGAAATATGGAGTATATTCTGTAACTGTATGTATCGTAGAATTATATTCTTCAAGAATTTCTTCAGCAAGACGATGTACCATGATATATTAGGATAATCAATTTTCTTACATCTAACCCGCTCTACAAATGTTTGAACGTAAATCTTTCCACAATTCCATTACTTGCAGGTGTGTTACTGGAATATAAATAATGTCTGTTTGATTATCCTGCAAGTACTCTCGAAATCTTCTTGAACTTAGAGCTGATATCGATCACTTTCATGATCTTTTGTGAATACCATCTTTCCTTACTTCCTCATACAATTTAATGAAATCATTAGCATTTTGTGTCTTTGAATACAATCCCCAAACATATCTTGTAAATGCGTCAATCGCTACTACGAAAATATTATCGATTCGTAGTGCCTCGATCTGTCAGGCCTGGATTGTACTTTCATGTGAATGTATTCAAATGGATTCCGTGCTGACCAATCTGAGAAAGTTTCAAGCCCAGTTTCTTTCTTTTGGTGAAGTTTTGCTTTGAAGACAAGTCGAACAATTATGTACAACTTCATGTATAATTTCATTTTGATTTGGTGTATAATAATTCTGAATAATGTAATACTGTTTGTTTTGACCAATATGACCTTTGAATTTATGAAAATATTCAACCATTATTTTTGCAAAAGATTCAGTAGAATATAATATCTTCTTCGACTATTGGTATAACGAACATAAAGTCCATTATACATAACACAATTTCTGAGGTGAAGTATGAAACAAATCCTTGTATTTCTGAAATTTGTTCTAGTGTTAGAAGATTGATTTGAAATTTTGGATCACGTGATAAACAATCAGCTTCAATGTTTTTTTTCCCGCAATATATATCTGATTTTATAGTTATATTGACTTAATTTCAATGCCCAATTCATTATTCTTTATTTGGATTTCTATGTGAATTGGATAAATTTCAAAGGTTTATGATCTGTTCGGATTATAAATTCATTTCCATACAAATAATGATGCCAGTGTTGTAAAGCTTCAATAATTGCTAAACACTCTTTTTTCCGTTATTGAATAATTTTCTTGATAAGGATGTAACTTTTCGAAAAGTATCCAATTTTTTTTTTCATTTCAAATTCAAATTTTTTGATTTTATCCAGAAATTTTTTTTTTGCTTTGTTTTTACAGTGTGTGTGTGTGTGTGTTTGGCATTCTATTAGAAAACAGAATAATTGGTTTGTTTTTGTTTTGTTCTGCTGGACATTGGGCAAGAATTATATATATATATATATATTACAACGATAATGCTGATGATAAATGTACAGATTTACATCACAGACAATTTTTGTTTGTTTGTTTGTTTGTTTGTTTCTTATTCAAATCAATTATGTAACAAGAAATTTTTTTTTTTTTTGTTTCATTCAATCAGAGAAAACAATCATCATCATGTGTATCAATCAATTTGATTATCAATTAAAAATGGATCCAATGATGTTTGGCGATAATGTTGACAATGATTTACAACAGCCATGGACAATACGTAATGTTCATAGTAGAAAATGGTCTATTTTCAGTTATTTGAAATATTTTAGCACTCCATTCTGTAATTATATTTGATTGATTGATTTGTTTATTGATTGATTTGATTTGATTGTCAATTTTTTTTGTAGTATTAAGCTGTTATCCATTGATATTATGGAAATTTTATCGTTCAACAATGTTATTGTTGATATCATTACAACAGGACAATGGTGATTCATCTTCATCATCATCATCAACAACAACAGCAACAACAACAACATCGATCAAGTGTTAATTGAACTCATTAAATCTGTACGATCAGTATCCGCAATTGTTGTACAATCATCACTATTTGTTGATGTAGATGGATTATAATAAAATGTTGGTATTAAATCAGGTGGACCTTTATTATTGAGATGATGATGATGATTATGATGATGATGACCAGTATGATGACCACCATGAGCAATTGCCGGATTCATACTGTATAGATCTAAACTCAACAATTCCATATTTGATTTGTTATCTTTAGCACTAAATCCAGCCAATAAATTACTATAATATTCATTACAAATAACATTCGTTTCCGTATAAACAGTCGGTATGGCTAAATTATCTAAAGTACCATAACCACCACCACCACCACCACCATGATGATTATTATTATTATGATGATGATGATGATGGCCACTATTATTATCAGCATTATCATTCACAATACCACCAGCACCACCACCACCGCAGCCAACATTTAAAGTAGTAGTAGTAGTAGTATTAATCATTGTTCCATTTGTAATATTCATATCAACATTGGAACAAACATCATTTCTTTGATGATTATTCATTACATTCAATCCAATTTCATCATCATCATCATTATTATCATTATCATCATTTTTATCACCATGAATTTTAAAATTATCACCATTCTTCAATTTACGTCCATAATTTTTCTTCTTATTATTATTATTATTATTACGTATTCGTTGACAAAATTTCGACATATACGATATGGCAATCACAATAACAATAAGCATTATGGTTAATGATCCACATACGCTAACCATTATTATTTTGATATGATTCATTGCATAATTTGTAAACAATAATCCTGTTGTGTCGGTTGTAAAATTTTTACTATTATTATAAATATATTTTTCTGCTTTACGCAATGTTTGAGCATTGATCCATCGATGATCACTGGTTCCTTTTGTATTGAGTGCATAAATTTTTATCTTATAATTACTTGATTCGATTAAATGATCAATTTGAAAATTAAACATTGTCATCGATGTACTTGATGTTTTACGTGTTTGATTTACTGTGGTGAAAAAAGAGAGAGAGAGAGAGAATTAAATTTTTTTTTAAGATAAAAAAACACATACTTAATGTTGATATGTTTGAAAAAGGCATCGGTGGATTCAATGTCAGATTCTGTAATAATTGGCCATGTTTATCATAAATTTCAGCAATATAATGTGTAGTTGGATGTACAAAAATTGTTTGGCCAATTTTTGCCGATTGTTGTTGTTGTTGTTGTTGTTGTTGTTGTTGATGATTGTATTGATTGTCTATTGTCATTTCTGATGATGATAAATATTGTTTATGTTTTGGTTGTTGTTCATCATCATCATCATCGTTATCACCATCACCGTCATCATCAACATTATCATTTGAAATTATTTGATAATCATTTTCACTTGTACATTTTATCGTTATCTTATCGATTGATTGATTATATAATTGACAATAGAATGGAAAATTTGGTGGACCTTGAAAATTGTAATGTTGACAAAAAAAAAAAAATAAACAGAATTTCATTAGCAGCAGAAAATTCCAGAATCTTTATTATTACCTGAATCAATGATATGATATTTACAGGGTATTTGTTGCATGCCAACATCGTTTTTAGCTATACATTCAATTGTACCATAATGATGTGTTGAATTTGGCATATAATATAATAATGAACTGTGGATGAAACAAACAAACAAACAAAAAAAATTCCAGTTGACAATTTTCATTTTAAATAAAATGTAAAAAAATTCTCACAAAACAAACCTATAGTTATACGAATGAACAGTGGTTAATTCAATTTGTTTTTCAAATTTCCATTGAAATGAACTGGGCATCGGATTGGAATCTACTTCACATACTAAGGCATTTGATTCGAATAACGAAAGACCATATGCTAATCTGTGGACAAAAATCAAAAAAAGAAAGGAATTTTATTCTGTTTATTCAACCATAGACACAAGAAATGTCAGAATTTTTTTGTTTATACAAAATACACATACGTTGATTTAAATTTACAATATGGTGCAAAACGTATATTCAATATGATTGAATTTGATGTTCGTGTACCATGTTGATTGGTGGCTTCACATTTATAATCACCAGACATATGACGACGGACATTTTGTAATACCAATGAATAATTACTTTGGATTATTCCTGTTGTAGTGAACAAAAAAAAACAAAAAAAAATTGAAAATAAATGATGAAAATTATTCACACAACAGAATTCAGATGGAATTTTTGTAGTTTTTTTCCACTCCATTCTTGGTGTGTAAATAACAACTTGTCGTTTTGTTAATTGTTTTGCTAAGCCTTTTTCAATTTGCGTGTGTGTGTGTGTGTTTTCTACCAAGAATCAATTTTATATATGAGGATTATGTTTGATGAATATTTGTTTGATTCCGTAACAATTTCCGTTTTAGTGCTTAAATTGGTTTTTATTTTCATTTTCACTTCTTGGAATTAAGATTGTTGTTTGTTGTTGTTCTTGGTTCAATGCAAAACAAAACAACAACAATAAAAAAACATCCGATTGATTGATATTATTTACCTTGTCTTGGTTCCAATATTTCATCATTAAATCTCCATATTAATGGCGTTGTTGGCATTGGATTTGCATCCAATATACAATCAAAATAAATGTCATTACCTTCCTGTATTGTATTCAATGATATGGTTGTTGTGCCAAGTTGTAATGTTAATTCTGGTACATCTATGGAAAAACATGGAAAAATAACGATTAATAACCATGTAATAATAATAATTCATCACAAAATATGGTGTTACTACAACAAAATAAATGAATGAATGAATGCAAGAATATTCTGCATTCAAATTGTGATGAGATTTTACAAATTGTAAAAAACATAAAACCATATACATTCTACACTGAGAACAAAATGTTCTGAAATTGTTGAATTAAAAATTTTTGGATTCTCTGCATGACATGACAATATATGGCCATTGTTTTCACGTTTCAATGGTAGACTAATGATTGATATTGTTTGCATATCACCTAAAACAAAAAGTGGAAAAAGAGAGAGCGAAAGAATTCAGTTGTCGAGCATTAATCTTTTAAAGTTTTTTTTTTATTTTACAAACCTTGTAATGTTGTATCATAACGAACATTATCAAACATCCAATATAATCGTGCTTTTGGTTTTGAACCAAATGATTTACATTCAAATTTTGCATCATTATTGGCTAATAATGATGATGAAATTTGATGAATTTTTATTTCCAATGGTTTTACTGGGAAAAATAAATCCAAGAAAAAAAAAAAATTGAATCGAAATCATCATTTGGATAATCATCACTTACAATTTAGATCAATAGTAATCGATGCTGATGATGCAATTGTAATATTATTATTTGATGATTGACAAGTGAATATTGATAATAAATGATGTCGTGCTAATGATTCAATAACAAGCTCATTGGTTGTAACTGTTTTTTGTTTGCAAAAAAAAAAAAAATGAAAAAATTCTTAAGCACTGGAAAAGGGTTAAAAAATGAGAAAACAAACCATCTTTGCTTTTATATTCAAAACTATCATCAATAATGGAATAATCTTTCCACCAGGTTAATGTTGGTCGTGGTTTACCTGAACGAAAAAACAGAAAAGAAATGAAAAGAATGAAATGAATGACGAAATTTTTTTCTGGTTACTGGTTGTTGTCTTACCACCAAACGATGTACAGACCAATACTAATCTATCACCTTCATTGAATGGTCCGATAAGGCCTTTTAATGGATGTGATGTACTTTGTGAATATTTATACGAAATGATTGGCTCTTCAGGTGGTACTGCGAAAACAAAAAAAAAAAATCAAAATCAAAATTAGTATTAATCTTTGCCACTAGATGGTAGTGCATTTGCAATATTTTTTTTTTTTTTTTTTTTTTTTTTATTCTGGATGTGGGTGTGTGTGTGTGTGTATAACATCATCATCATACCAATCACTTTAAGCTGTATCACTATATTAACTGTACGAGCTTTTTTAAAATCAACTCGACAACGATATTCACCAGCATCTTTTGTTTGTACTGGATCAATTTGTAAAAAGGCAGGCTGATTATGTTGATTGAAATAAACACGATCTATAAAACCGAAAAACAAAAACAAAACAAAAATCGACATGATCTCATCGACAAACATCAATGAATTATAAACTTACCAATTAAATTTGGTGATGCAATAATTCTTGCTTTTTCTAATGGATCTATAATATATATGATGATGATGATGATCCAAACAAATCCAAATAGAATATTAAAACAATGGCACATCAATGATATATAAATCCGTTACATACCTTTTCGTGCATCAATCGTATAGATTGGTTCAAACTTTTTATGTTTTACCATTTTTTTTTTTTCATGAAAGCAATAATTGGCCACAGGTAAAAAAAGAATAAAAAAACAAAACAAAAACAGAATCGTTACGTTTCGAAATTTTTTTTTTTTTTTTTTTGTTACTCGTATCACTTACTTCATCATCTTTATACCATAGGATCAATACAACATGATCATCGATTGTTGGTGGTATTATATTACATGGTAATGCAACCTGTTTTCAATTATATAATAATGGGGTAAAATGAAATACACTGTGGTTCGAATTTTAAATTTATTATATTATCATCAATTCATTACCTTTCCACCATCGACAGCTGTATAAATGATTGATGCTAAATTAAATTGAAAAAAAAAAAAACGAAAACGAAATTAGTAAGACTAGTGATTATCTGGAAAAAAAAATTTTACATCCACACATCTTTTATGATTTTCATCATCATCATCATTATTCACACCCATTGTTGTTGTTGTTGACCGAGAATTTTTTCACACCATGGAATAATAATGATCAAAATGAAAATTGTCAACAATAACCCATAGTGGTTGAACATGAATACTCACACACGCTCACACATCTCATTGCCACCATTTCATTTTTATTTTTGTTTCTTCTTTGACTTTTTTTTCATATTAATGAAATGAAATTAAAATATTATAATGTTATATGGTGAATGCAAATGTGCAAGAAAAAAAACGAATTCAGATGATGATGAGATCAAAGAAAAAAAAACCCACCAACCATTAACCAACTGCCTCCCCCCCACCACCACCACACACACACTGCCATCATCAAAAATAATAATTCCATTGGAATGCAGCGGTGGTGGTGGTGGTGGTGGTGGTGGTGGTGATGGTTGTAATCATCATCATCATGACACTAGGTTTTTGTACAAAAAAAAAAATTTTTTTTTCAAAATTTAATCCAAAGTTTGTGTTGATGCGTGTATTATATTATAGCGTGCAACGGCGGGTTTTGTTTTTTTTTTTGTTTATTCGTTGGAAAACACGAAATCACTCCATTTTTTTTTCTTGGAACAAAGACAATTCACACACACACACTGGGTGAAATGAAAAAAAAATGATACAGACAAATGACAATGACATAACGGAATGATGATGAGAAACACTACCAGGAAGAAGAAAAAAAAACGAAACAACAACAAAATAAATGTTTAATTGATTGTGATAGGGCTGTGTATCGCTTCGAGAGCAGATATTCTTTCATCTATTGAATTTTTTTCAGTGTTGGTGGTTCGTTGGTTTGTTGGTTGGTTATCCAAGATTCATTTCTTCATTGTTTCACCATCATCACACCACTACACACACACACATTATATACGCTTTGATTCATTTTCTTCACCACACACACACACACACACGCCACATTTTTGTTTCCCATACAATTTTTATTTTTGGATTCTTGTTTTCATCATCATCATCATCAATATCATTGAAGCTTGAGATTGATATTTTGTTTTTGGTTTTTTTTGTGGTCAGTTGTGTTTGTTGTTTGTTCTATATTTTCTTCATCAACATTCTTTTCATATAGATGATGGACATCACACACACACACACACACACATAACACGATTTTTGTTTTCATGGTTATTGTTGTGTCGTTATAGTTGTCAAATTAAATGATGCATTATATCATTCTTCACTATTTACACACACACACACACACATAGAAAGAAAACGAGAGCGAGACATTCAGAAAGACAAACTTACTTTATTCTTATTATGTGTTTGTGTGTGTATGAGTGTGTGTGTGTGTGTTTGGTGTTGTTGTTTCTGGATCATTCACTTCTTGTGTGTTTGTTGTTGTCAAGTTTTTTTTTCGTTCAAATTCGATTTTTGTTTTTTTTTTTTTATTTGATTTTCATCAACATTATTTTTTGGTGGCAGTGTGTTCGTTTCATTTTTTGGTTTCAATTTTTCCGGTTATTACACGCCAAGCACACCCCACACACACCGCAGATCTGTTACTTGAAAAAAATTTTATTTTGGATTACTAGTAGTAGTAGAAACACCACCACCACCACCACCACCACCACCGCTACTACTACCACCACCACTACCGCTTAACAATGATGATGATGATAAACTATCATTAATTGCTGCTAGAATGGCACCATCTAATTGTTGTTGCGATTGTGATTGTAATTGTTCTTTACATGGTAATTTACAAATAAAACGCATTGGCATATCAGCATCCGATGGTAAACGGGTATCTTCACGAATTCTAACGACCACAGTACCCATATCTTTTGGTAATGCCATTTTAAATTGTTGATTAATTTTAACTAATTCAACAATTTCCGTTGATTGTAATTGACCATCAGAATCTTTTGTAAATGATGTCATTACTTTAACATTTTCCATTGATGATGATGATGATGATGATGATGATGAAGATGCAGATGCAGATGCTGATGTTGTTGATAATGATGTCATTGTCTGTGTGTGTGGTTTTTTGTGGTTTTTTTTCTACGTTTTTTTTTGCTTCAAGCTTTTTTTTAGCTAACCAGGCAGTTGTAACTGAAAAAATTGAATAACAATATCCTATTGATGATGATGATGATGATGATGATGATGATGCGTAAATCAAAACCAGTCGTGCACACACACACACACACACAATAGATGAAACTTTTTACTTGATTTTCAAAAATTAAAAAAAAAACAATAAATATTCGGTGTACTCGTCGTTGCACAACAACAACAAAAAAAGTTTCAAGCAAGCCAAAAAAAAAAATGAAAAATGAAAATTCGTTAATTGGTTTTTTTCGGCTTTATGTGTGATATATATGTTACGTGTTAAGAAGTAGAAAAAGGGAAATATTATAATTGAAAAAAAAGAATGAAATTTTAACATTTGACTAGAAGGCAAACAACAAGAACTTACCAAAAAAAAAAAAAAAAATCACTAAATCGTTTTGTTAATGCCAGCCATACAGAATGATGATTGGCTTTTATATATAGCAAAAGAGAATTTTTTTTCATTATTCTGTTCGAATTTTTTTTCAAAATTTCCAAATTCCATTGTTGTTGTTTGTCATATTCATTCATTAATTCATGGCAATTTAATTCAATTTTTTTTCAATTCACAACAAAAGAAAAAATTTTTCGTACCAAACAAAAAAAAGGTGTAAACAAACATATACACGCCCACGCACAAATGTAAAACTTTAATTCAATTATATCACCACCACCAGCATTCATCGTATCGTTTTCATGCCCATTTCTAAACTAATACATCCACATTTCCTTCCTTTTGTGCCACGATTATTATATTATGTTTATTATTCGAATCAAAATTCCAGTTTTATAAAACTTTTCGTTTTTTTTTGTTTCAATAAACATTCCACATTTGGATTATATAAAACAAACGGAAATAGAAACAGATACAACAACAACACAACAACAACTACAACAAACAACGACATTGATCGAGACACAAAGCACAAGAAGATCATATTTCTTAATTTTGGGTAAAAACATATTTCATATCTTCCTACACACACACACACACATGATATACTGATGGGAAATTGAAAAAAAAAACCCACGATATAACGATTCTACATCATCATCATCATCATCTTTTTGTATCCGACAACAACAACAACAGCAAAAGGATCAATGTCTAAATCAACGTTGTCGTTGGAACATAGACATTGATCAGGAAAAAAAAAAAAAAGAAAAGAAAAAAAAACAAACTTGGAAACCTGATTAGCATATAACTGAATAATAGTCGTTGTTGTTGTTGAATGGAGGGCGGGCGGACGGGGGACGGGGTTTACACGTAGTTTAAATTTTTTTTTTTTCGTTAAAGAATCTTCTAGAATTTCGTATGTGTTATCATATACGTGAAACATATTGTCAAGTTTCCAACAACTTTTTCTCTTGTTTGCCTGTTATATTCCGGGTTCATGGTTTGTGTGTGTGTGTGTGTGTATGTTACAAGATTGTTTTTGCACTGATGTTCCACATTTTCAAGAATGAGAAAAAAAAACAATCAAACAACCGAATAAAATGCAATAAAAAAGGAATAAGATAAACAAACATCATCGTCATCATCATGGATGTGGAACCATCATTTTTTTTTTTTTTTTCGTTTTATATCTGATGACGAAATAAAGAATTTTATGTCTAAAAATCTGAATCGACAAGAATAAAATGGTGAAGGATGAAGAACCTTGAAAGAAATTTTTTCTTTTTTTTTCTTGGACATGAAACCCATTTATGAATGCTTCAATTTCTTTACTTGATTTGGTGTGAAAAATTCTGATTCTCTATCGCTTGCTTCCCAGGAATAAGGGACGCAGTAAAAAAAAAAAAAGTTTGAAAAACCAACACACACACACACAAAAACACAATAATAGTGACATAAAAAGATTACGAAATCCAGATTTATAGATTTTTGGAGTTTTTTTTTTTATTTCATTTTCTTGTTCTGTTTTCACTACCAATCAATGTGTATACAGAATTCCTACAGAATAAGATAATCCTCAATGTTTGTTTTTATTTCGTTTTTATTGTTTCAACAGCAGCAACAGCAAAAAGTTTTTTGGCAATGAAAACACTAACGTTATCTTATTCTTATTATTTCTCATCATTTCTGTAATTGAAAATTAGACATCTGTACGACATTGCGACATTTGACCTTTTTCGGTTTGTGTTTGATTAATTCAATTTGCAAATGTGTGTGTGTGTTTCAGTTAGCAACAAAAAGACGTGTTAATTTCAATTTTCGTATTTTTTTTTTTTCAATGGAATAATAGAATAATGGCAGCAGAAAACAAAACAAAAAAAAAAATGTCAAAATGAAATTGAATTAATCAGCAAATTTTTTTTTCTTTCATTCAAATTCATATATGACGTACATGTGTGTGTGTGTGTGTGTATGTTATTCATAAATTCAATTTCTTTTTTTTCTATTAAAATTCAGTTGAACTTGGTGACGATGATGATGATGTTAGAGAAAAAAAAATCCGTACAAATCATCATCATCATCATCCATGAAAATGACAATGAATGATTCGATTTGAACTTTTTCTTTTCATTTTAACACCCACACACACACACACACACACACACACAAAAAAATGAAATTCAACAAATTCATATTCGCTTGTCATCATCATCATCATTCAATTTAATAACTACATCTATATATGGAACTAAAAAAAACAGTCAAAACTAATTAAAATCATCACCAGGAATGAAAAAAATTTTTAAATGATGACTAACTGAGTGTTAACAAATGAAAAAAAAGAATTCATTTTTTTGTTTTGTTTTGTTTCGTTTTAGTTACATATAATTGAATCTT